CAATAATGTTGAAATAACAGATGTAACCAAATTACACTGTATCGATAATGTTGAAATAACAGATGTAACCAAATTACACTGTATCGATAATGTTGAAATAACAGATATAACCAAATTACACTGTATCGATAATGTTGAAATAACAGATGTAACCAAATTACACTGTATCGATAATGTTGAACCGTAATTGTCTATAGTATAATCAACATTGCTGGAATACTTTAACAGTATTTGCTGGTATAATTATTGAACCAAACCAACTGTCAATCTAAAATAAATATAAATTGTGGTGTCATTCGTAGTGGTGTGTACCAGCACGAAAATACCTTTCAAAAAACTCGCTTGCTGGCATTCAATATCGGCTTTCAAGTTGTAAGGGAGTTAATTATATCTTAAAACCATAAAAAAAATTTCAGGGAAACAATTTTCATGTTATTTTACTGCATACCAGTGATTATTAAAAGCTAAAAAATTTACAATGTAAATAAAAATACATGATAGCTTCCAAGTTCCGGAAATGTTTAATTAAATAATATCCAACTACTTTTGTTGTGTCTTCAACAAATAAATGTTATTATTAATAATTTTTTTTATAAATATTACGGTATTATTAACTGCCATGGCAACGATATTGAACTGTAATGCATCAACTCACTGTGCGTACAATGTACATACCAGTGTCAGCTTTGTGGTCATGGACAGGGACACTGATTTGTAAGTTGATACGTGTGATTTATGATGTTTTATGTGCTATGGATTCTTGAAATCTCTTGGGATGCCCTTTCCCTCATCACAGGATGGTTTATGGTGTTAGATGACTGTACTGGAATAGTGTTCTGATAAACTATTTGACTTACATGTACAGTACATGCACATCCCAATTGTTTAGTTGACTATACAATTACAAGTTAGAAAAAATAAAAAAAATGCAAGCTGCCATTGAGCTAGAAATATTTTTTTTTCAGAAATCATATTAATTTGATTGTTTGTTACATAAGAGCATTTGTTGACACCCCCCCCCCCAATAAATAGAATATTACACGCATCTCTGATAGCTGTATAGAGTTGTGGCTTAAAATAAAAAGCCAAGTTTATAACTGAGCTGGAACAGCACTTTGGCTCAGGGTAAATTTGAACTGAACCCTGCTAGAACTGGCTTGAGCTGAACACAATTGTATGGTCATTTTTTCTGGTCCAAGGCAATACAATACTATCATGTAAACAAGGTAAAGTTCACGTTCAAGCAGCTTCATAATTATCTTAATCGTGGCTTTGACTTTTTTCAAGTGCATGTATTATTCTGTTACAACTCTATGCTTCTTGAAATTATTTTACAGCTCTGGGTACAATGCGTAACTAAATTTGCACCAATGATTTGTCAATATTACCCCATGTAGCTTATCCGCAACGAGACATCTTGGCACTTTGTAATCTTTCAATGAAATATATCCCTGGCATTCCAAAACTTTTGTTAGTCTACCCATGCGACACTCTAGAATTCTTGCATAGTGTAGTTTACATTTATTTTTAGGTGAATGTAACAATGCTGTGGTGAACCAGAGAGTGTAAAAATTATACTAAAATGCATGCTATGTGCAGTGATTAAGTCAGGCTACATATCCATCTTTCAACTCAAAAATCTATTCAGTTCCGACTCATTGATAATTTAATTCTCCGCAAACTTGGCAATGAGTTGGAACCAAGTCTCGGGTTCTAAAAACCCCCACCTCACCCCTTTGCAATGTGATAACAAACGAGTTTCGTCAGGCAGACCTTAAATTTCAGTCCCACTTTTCATGTCAATGAGTTATGCTGGAGGTATAGTGTTTTTTACGACAGGTGACTTCTTTCATTTCTACGACTTGTGCTGTCCCCGTTTTCATGGGTACTGAAGCATCACACCGTGGTGCGTGTGGTATGCTAGTATTCAAAGCTTGAAAGCTTGGCCAGTTGCATATTGTACACACAGTGTGTTTGCTTCATATGCCCGAAATACCAACTGACGGTAAAACGCCTTAAGGTAACATGTCAATAACTGTTTTGTTATAGGTAAAATACGATCATCCCCAGGCGTTTCCACCCATTTGTTTGATGGAATTATTTGACTGTAATTTTGAAAATCTTTGACAGGGTGGATTTCTATGAAATATCCCAAGCCTTTGTACATGTATGACTATAATAAATCTCTTTTTAACATTCATTAAATCTGTTACCGGATATGGATTACTCTAGTAATAACAGAACAGAAAGAGCGGGAAGCATGTTGTTCTCCTTGCACTGTGAAATTTATGCGAGTTTTTTCTTAAAAGCATAAACCGAACAGCCCTTGTCAGGGCCACCACACACTTCAAAAATAGAACAACATGTACCATACTAAACATGATTTTTATGGACTGAAACACACTTTTTACATGCATATTTTAATAAATGTTAAACTTAATGCATTGTCGGTGCCTGGTAAAACACCCTGGGCATATAAACGGGGTTGTCTTCAACTCGTTAAATGTTTAAAAATAGAAGGGTGGGTTAATACCCAGGGATGGACTTATGACTGGGAAAGTATGGTATTACTATAAAGATGCAGAAAATTGAGACAAAATTCTTGGAAGCTACTGTTTTCTATCGTATACAAATTATCAATGTATCGTATTTGTTCTATTAGTTGCACATCTGTGGTCAAAATATTTTCATATTTTTTTAACTACATGTACTCAGTAATATACAATAAATGGGTTTTGGGTTTAGACATGCTTTTGCATTCATATTACAGATGCTTTTCTGAAACAGACAAAATGATACACGTTTTGTATTTACATGAACCCGTGACCGCTTAACCGTGTATGTTTTGGTTTTTCCTTGGATGCACGTTTACTATCCCGCGGTCAGGATGATTTATGTGATAATGCCCACTGGCTGATACGGTCATTGTTCAGTGTTCATAATAACGTCAAATTATTGAATATAAACCTGAGAAGATTGTTGTTTTACTACCTCCCGCCGGTTGCCATCATTTCGTCTAATAATAGTAGCTATCGGTATGTGCTAAATGACAACCATCAGGGATTTGAAGTATGTCATAGATTAGAATCAAAATCACTTATATTCAGATGTTTATTTTGTCTGGCCATTGCATACTAAGACAATGTTATAAAATCATACTAGCAGTCAGAACTCACAAATTTATTGGTTTGGAATATGGTATTTTCGCTCTTGTACTTTTTCACAAATAATGTCCCTTTGTTAAACCATGATCTCAGAGAACGTAAAATTCAAATTTTGGAAATTGAATAAATAATAACTATTGTAAACTATTTTATTTTTGTGCGAGCCAAATAAATTATCAATCCATGAAAATCACAAAATTGTACAGGGTCCACAGCAATATTCGTAAAAGTTTGATTTTATGACCAGTGTTTTCCCTAGAAGGCAGCTAATTTTGCTGGCTGTTTGTATCCTCAATATCTTGTGTCTTTTCAAAACATTATATTAAAATTTTATAATTTGACTCGCTGCCTAATATTTTTTCAGTTGAAAATCACTCCTAAATATTTTAGTAAAAACCCTGTGATAATTAACAGTGTTTTAATTTGAGTGATAATCTTTTGTGATACTGTATTTCCAGAATAAACACAAAATTATGTATAAATAAATATTTTTCACTGGGGTTATTCAGCTGATTTTGATGAAATTTAGTTGTCGCAATCACCTTCAAATGTCAAAATTGTGAATTTTGTTTGCAGTACGTAAACAAAACTAAAATGCTATAATAGTACTTCTTTACCTTTTCATCACCAGTTCCCTCTTTTCATCACAAATTCACAAAATAGTCCTGTTTATAGTCTGCACTTTCCTTCAGAAAACTGGGATACAAATAGCCAAATTTTTTGGGTAAAAACTGAAAATTGACTCAAATTTTGTTCGTTGGCTTCAAAACTTAGGGTTCATCATCAAAAATATTTAAGAAAAGACAAAAGTGCAGAATAATTTGGGCCAAAAAGTCTTGTGGTGAAAAGGTTAAAATTACACACAAAAAAACAAGATTACTGTTAAAATGATTACATGCATTACAAACATGTCCATGATTTGTTAGTTTATCGAGTAAGTTCTCATCAAACATTATTTCAATGTCTGCCCATGTCATGAATTGTACATTCCTTTCTCAGTTTTCCCACCATCAAAAACACATGTTAGGAACATTTATTTTTAATAGTTTACTCAAAAATAAATGTTTCAACAGCAGATTGTATTAATGGAGTTCATCGCTGACCATTAAGAGGCGAAGTTTGACCTGTCAGAGCATTTATCTATCCCAGCATGCTAATTACATTACACAAGTTTTGATTGGCTACTGTTGATAACCAATTAGAATAATTGTTACAAAAGATTGCTCATATTCTGTCTAGTGTCATGTTTAATTAGTCAAAACTTGTTATAAGGTGTATAATTAAGTAACACAAAATTTAAACAACAACAAATATTTGGTGTTCTGTGAGTGAGAGTCAGTAAGAAAAAATTAAATAAAAACTGTTTATATAGACTAAATATTGTGCATATTAAAATTACCTAATTTTGTTCTCAGCATGTTCTCTGAGTAAATGCAGTAATATGGTGCCAATCATTCAATCTATATCCATATATTGTTATATTTAATTTTAATTAAAGTTGGTAGTCTGGGATGATTTTGAGCTCTGATAATGAACAGTTAAGTGAAACAGGCTTATTTCTATTCAGCAATCTATCGATCAGACAATTAGTTTTGTTATTACAAAACCATAAGCCACGTCACAACATGCTCAATACAGAAGCTGTCCCTCCCAAATATGGCAGATTGAAACACCACCATTATATAATGCACTCTTCTAAAATTAGCATACTATTTACCATAACAAAGACAGCAGACCACAACCTATGAACTGTGAATGTCTGCCATAATGGCTGGTGCTGAACCTTTCAGTTGACTCACACTTTCTAGTTTCCAAAATGTTGATAAAACACAGACAATACTGTCTGTATTTTGTCCTCTCTTGCCTAGTGGCAGCTTGTGGGTCACTGCCTCAGTGCAGATTGGACAGACAATTGAACTTTTCATGCGCCGCAACATACAGTGTTGAATACTATGAAACCATACAGTCGTGTCAGTGGCGGGAGACAAAGCAGGAAGTAACAAGTCCCAGGTAGTGGTACTATACTTTAAGACCCATTAACCTTTATTTGTGTTGATACATTCAACTGTGTCTCTGTCTAATTTGCATGGCCATCAGATTATGTACAAACTGGCTGCATACAACATGTCTGGCCTCACTGTCTATGGAAATAACTACTGTAAAGGCATGCACATGTTCCGGTTGACTTAATTCGAAACAGAAATTCCAATTCAGTAAAAACTGTGTGTAACTGATTGGGTGTGATCTCAGTTGACCTTTGACATATTGCCTGTTGATCATATAGAAAGTGTTGAAACACCGTCTTTTGTTTTCTAGGACACACCCAAACTTATTAGTCATTGTTGTATTACACATTCACATCACAACAATGCTATTTGTATGTAACCTTGGCGTGTGTGCCCTCATTTGATTTTAAATTTGTTTATGCAATTTCAGTAATAGACCATATGGTTATGGCTTCAATCAGGCAATACTAAAAAGAACATTTAATTTTACTTTATAATTATCAAAATGATTCATTATGTATTCTTAATATGCTGCATTAGATACTAAATTAACCGAAATTGTGAAATAGACTGGGAAACCTCTATTTTGTAAAGTCAATGTAAAAGTACATGGGGCTAATGAAATTAGGATTAATAATGTTTATCGTGTTTTGATTAAAATCAAGAAATCCAGTATAAAAAAAATAATGTATTGTGCATGCATTGTATACAGTGTATGGACCCATATTGGATATGGCATATCTCAGCCATCTTTAAACATTTTTGGGTGACTTCTCATGGCTCACTTACATAAATTACTTGCATCAATAACATTTCTGGTTTTCAGAGAATCTTGCAAAAGTTTAATTAATCCATATTACATAGTGTAATTGCTAATATTAAAATTCAGTGAAAAACAAATAATATATTATAACCATGCTTTTGATAACAGCAAAGCCACAGATGTTTTGAACACCTCTTATACCAAGCTTGCATGTAATTTCATAACAACTGCACCATAAAAACTCCATTAATTCATGGCAGTAAAAAAAAAAAAATGTTGTGCTCAATTTTGGATGATTCCATTAATAGTTAAACAAGCATATTTGCCAAATTATAACACTGAGACATGATGATCTGAATTGTCAAATGTGTGAAAAAACTATACATGTAAATACTTTTTTAACAGAAGTGATATATTCTAATTTAATTGTAATAAAAATAGACCATACATGTAGGTACTGGTACTTCTGTATTTCCAATGCAATGTGACGCAAATTTCACTAAAGGCATTATGGCATTTTAAAAGAGTTTTGGCATTACTTTTTTTTTTTACTGAAGTGATACATTGTAATTTAATCATGATAACCAAAATATGTCCTAGGTACTAGTACTTCTGTATTTCCAATGCAATATGATGCATAAGTGCATTATGGCTTTTTGAAGGAGTTTTGGCATCACTTGCAGTATAAAATTTTTTTTTTTTAAAAAGTTGAAACACTTTAATTTAATCATGAAAACCAAAATAAGTCCTAGGTACTTCTGTATATTCAAGGCCTTTCAATATAGTATACATTTTACAATAGTCTGTGACACCTTTTAATTGCCACCTTATACAAAATAAATCTGCATACATTTTTATATTTATATAAATTTTGTGAAAGATTTTCATCAAGCCCTGTAGCCAGGGGGAAATTAAGTTCATTTGGTCCAAAAAATAAACAAGAAAAAGTTAATGTAATCATTTTCAACAAAATAGTCAAATGAAAATATGCTTTGAATGATGCTGTTCAAATTGCACAATTTTCTCTGTTCATCACAGACTTCACACAGACATCTGTGTGGCTTTGAAAGTATGTGTTTATAATTCCTATATTATTGTAACAAGTACTTGGTATAGTTGCAGTAGGACATTCCAAAGTGTACATTTTGTTTGCATTTCCAGAATTGAATTATGATTTTGTTTATCTCTTCTTGTCTTTTATAGCATCCATTTGTCTGTTGTTGCATGCGGTGACCGTGCCAACGAAACTCTGATTATGCTAAAGTCAGCCGTATTATTTACCCGAGCTCCTTTACACTTCCATATATTTGCAGAAGACGAATTACATTCAATTTTTAGAAATAGGGTAAGTTGGTTACATGCACGTAGTTGGTTATATGCAAGTATGTATTTACTGATATCGCTACAGTATGCATGTATACATGTGTTTTGTTTTATTTGTTTGTCTGTCTGTCTGTCTGTCTGTTCGTTTGTCTGTCTGTCTGTCTGTTCGTTTGTCTGTCGGTTGACAAATTTTGTTCGAACTAGTGTCAAAGACAACTCATTTAATTATGGCCTACTCCACGTCTATATTGATATTTGGCATGTGTATGAAACATGTCTTCTTCTACACATCAGTTTGTTGTATACTGTAAAATACTTTATTTTCACTTTGAACTTATTTTCACTATTTTACCTAAAGGAGATAATTCAGTGAAAACAAAATCCATTGAAACTATTCCTTTTCCTATATTTTACATTCAACTCATCAAAAATCAGTGAAAATAAATCTCATATAAAACAGCCAAACTGCTTTTTCAGTGAAAATTAATTAATTCCAGCTTAAAATGAATTGTTTTACAGTATTGGGACTAATGTGAAGGTCATTTTGGTGCAGTCCCAGAAGTATTTAAAAGCTAGTAGTTCTGCAATGCTATTACATGTAGTTGAGACTCGTAAAAATAGTAAAATATTCCTTACAAGGCGTTTTGGGTTGGTAGTGGCATACACTAACTTAAATATATATTCAAATATCTGCAGACAACAAAACAAAGAATCCTTTGTTATGCTAAGTACATGTAAATGTTTTAGCCTCTGGAGAACACAAATTGAACTATAGCAGAAACATATTTGTTGGATGTATTTTAGTGTAAATATTTTACCATATTTATTTTTGTTCTGTTTTATTGCAGCTGGAATTATGGCCATCGAAATACCGAGCTAAAATCAAGTATGACATATACAGTATAACATTCCCACCAGGAGAAAATGCTATGGAGTGGAAAAAATTATTTAAACCTTGTGCTTCTCAGAGATTATTTTTACCAGTAAGTGAAAATAACCATTTGATATAATACCCAACGTAGACCAATATGTCGCATGTTGGTCCATTTCATTTGAATTATTAATAACCCATCGAGCATCAAAGTTGACTTTTCACAAAATATAATTTTTTTCATATTTTTTTTTTTTTTAATTTTGATTAAGACCAAGTAGCATGTTACCTGTAAGACACTTTAGTCCAAAATTCTAAAAAAAATTCTAAAAAAATGCATCACAATTTTGGTGGAAAAATGATGGTGCCCAAAGAGTTAAACATGTCTCAGTCAGTAAAGTTTTTCTATATACTGTAGGAGGCCTATTGTATATTTGATTCACAAGATGTTGGATTTATATGGATTATTTTACCGTAACTCTGTGAAAAATAGCCTGCAAAATGGGCTTGCTATAGACTCGTTCTGTACTGGGCACAGCAGTATTTCATGAGTAAGCATATTCATCTTTTACACATTGTATTTCCCACTAGGATGTCTTAACAGACGTGGACTCCATACTATATGTGGATACTGATGTTCTCTTTCTGTTCCCGTTGGATGAAATCTGGGAGTTCTTCAATAAGTTCAATGCAACGCACGTGGCAGCCGATGACGCCAGAGCACGAAACCAAGAGTATCGGCTGGTACAATCGCTTTGCACAGCATCCATACTATGGAGAGACAGGGGTCAATTCTGGTGTAATGTTGATGAATCTAACAAGAATACGAAAGTTTGACTGGACCAAAAAGATTGTTCCATATTACAGACAATACAAACTAAAAATAACCTGGGGTGATCAGATCTACTTAATATTTTATTTCATTATCATCCAGGTAAGTCCTATTGTCAATCTGATTATCTGATCGATAGAGGATAGAGACTTAAGTCTTTTATAATATACCGTTACATTAGCAAGACAGTAGCTGATAGTGTACAGGGGTGCATCTGACCATTCAAGTCTTGTACGATCGGCAACCAATCAGAACTTATGATACCAGCCACTTTCTAGAGCAACATACTGGGTATTTTGTTTTCGTGAAGCATAATATAATTAGTTGACAAATCCTATTAAGAGAAAAGCAGCTTTAAGCTTGGTGATATGGGACTCGTATGAACAAAGATGGCGACTTTGACTGTTGTGCAGACCGACGAGTACAAACTGAGACGTTACTAAGCTTTAACTAGGTAATTTCTTCGGTGATTGAAATGTATCGAAGGAGTCATCGGGGGTAATTAATGCACGTTTCACCCAGGTCAAAACTCGTGACGTCCATTAGAAGAGCGCATTGGATTGTGGGAAAAGGAATGTTTATCAACACAAATGGCACACATGTGTGACTCGATGACCACCACCCTTTAAATGCAGTTTGTATGTTTAATTGGTCAAATGTAGAGGCATGCACACCAGCAGTTATAAACCAATGATTAAAGAGCATCTACCAACATCAGATTGCTGTAATTCATATACTGTAAAAGACTTTATTTTCGCTTGCAACTCATTTTCGTTGTTTTTTTTATCTGAAGGAATGATTCAGTGGAAATAAAATCCAGCAAATATACCTTTTTTTCCCCCTATATTTCAACTAGTCAAAAATCAGTGAAAATCAATTCCATACAAAACAACCAAAAAGTCTTTTCAGCGAAAATTAGTTCCAGCTAAAATAAAGTATTTGACAGTATGACAGATCACAGAAATCTGTTAAACTTTCAAATACTCTGATTAGCGGTATTCTAGAATCATATACAAGTAATTATGGATATTAATTCATTGTAATTTACATTAATATTAATATCTTGACTACAACTTTCACCAATCTATATTTTTTATTCCCAGAACTACTTTATGTGTATCCATGCGAGTGGAACTATAGACCTGATCACTGCATGTACTCTAGTCTGTGTAAGAGGGCTGAACAAAATGGTATTAAAGTAGTCCATGGCAACAGAGGTGTTTTCCATAACGAAAAACAGATCACATTCAAAGCGGTTTATGATGCTTTAGTCCAGGTTAGTGTAGACTTCGTTAGTCGTTAGTGTCTGTCTGCACCTGTATCTGGGCTGATAACATTGAACCTTTCACACACATCATGTCACATGCGAAAACTTTTTACATACATGGAACTTTATCTTTGATTTATGTATCTCATTCAAAATGGCAGACTGAATAAAGTGTCACAAATACTCCGTCATCTAGATCTCTGAAGTTACTTTGGTGTACTTTTCTCTCAGCCACACTACGGTTAAATCTTTGCAATTGTGTGCAAAGAATATTTATTCCCCAAATTATTGTTTTGTGATACATGTCTGGAAAAATGCAGCAGAAGTGCGGTCACGTGGTAAAAACTGGCCGTATACCTCATAGTTATTGGAAAATACTGAAATATATCAGAATAAAAAGTGATTTTTGTCTCAATATGTGTTCATTTAGTATGCATTTAGTCTTTATGAAATCCAGGTGCTAAAACAAAGCTATAGAGGTGCCATTCTCGCAACAAATGGCTACCAGTCCCTGCTCTTCTATTCAAGGAGAAGGGGGAATTTTTCAGTTTCAGAATTAGTCACTAAAATCAGAAATTTTGTATTGATACTTTCTTTGGTTTAAAGTACAGAATTTTAGTGGCTTGTCTTTACTCATATTCTTATACTTGAAGGTCATCATAAGATACTTCATACTTTAGTTTTTCACTTGAATTTTCCTCCAGATTTAGCAACTTGGAGAGAAAAGGGTCAAAGGTTATTGAAAATCAGGAACGAGCGATTACACATTCAGTTAGTAATAATTTCTTGAATTGTCTTGATATTTGATTTGTATGGTCTTTCTTTCTTTTAGTATCAACTTGGTGAAGATCTGAAGAACCACCTCATAGACCCCTTAACTAATGGATTAATGGCGACAAAATCTACGCAGTGTGGGAAACTTTATCATGCCTTTCTAAAAACTATTCTCAAATCTATACTTGATATCAGTTAACGTAATGGTTTGTTGTCTTTTAAATCCAGACAGTAACAAAGTGCAATTTTAGTAGGTAACACTAAAACGAAACATCTTTATCCTCGTTTGTGTGACCGGGGTTTAATTTCACATGTACACTGCTGCAATGGTATTGAGTAGTTCACTATAAAACATACTCGCTCTCTTAGGAGGACGTGAAAACAAACATTATCGTCAATATTGTCAGTGGTAATTTCAGACAGAACTTAGTGTTTTTAATTTTAATTAATGTTTGGAGACCATCCTTTCTTTCATCTGTGTTTGATGATATAGTTTTACAATTAATAAGCAAGCTTTGTAATTATGTATATTCTTAAGGGGACCAATAATAATATTTTAATGTTCTTATTAAAGTGAAGATTTCAGACAGTCAATTTTTACCATCATTCACAGAATCAAACCCATCGTTTTCTTAAGATTTTTGATCAAGATCGGTAAGTACCGGTAATAGAAAATGGTGTCCATTTGTTTGAAAATTATTACCGCAAAATTGCATGTAGTAGTATTTGCGGTCATAGCAGCTCAAAAAAGTACTTGTAACAAAAGTTCGACTTGTCAACTGAATGACCATGTCACCTTTAAAATTATATATATTGCTGTATTCAAAGAAAATCAAATTTGGGACCAATGTCAGACTTTATCTGGTGGTACATATTAATAAGGGGTCGTTTTGATCTAATTTTAATTTGAGTGTTGAGGTAAATAAATAGTGAAAGACATATCAACATTTGAATTTATAAATTCACACTCTTAGAACTACATATATGCAATACAAGTCGCACAGAAACAGTCAGCTGCTAAATTGCCAAGGGAACCATTTACTGATAGGCTGAAAACAAAATGTGGATGAAATATAGTTTTGGTTTTCATCGCATTTGATTGCTTGTTTGTGATAAGGTATTCGATATAGCAATGACCCGTGACAGTTGACTGAACTGTGTAGTCTACACGATGTTGGTGGGAAACTATACGTTATGTAAAAATGTCCATATGATTGATTTGGCTAACTAGTTAAAAAATTCAGAAAATTTTAGTGAACTACAAATTATTGATATTTTGTTGAGTAATTCATTACATCAAATAAACTGCACTTTGGCGGCCATTTTGGATTTGAAAATTCATATATTTGAGGTTCATGATTCAAAACTAAGTATCACAACTTTTTTTTTGTCAAATTTTAGACAGTCACAAAAAATAATTTAGCTAAGTTTCAAGAAATTCCTGTCCCAAAGGTGTAATTAGTCGTAAACGTTCTTAATTGATGCCATTGAGTTTTAAAATAAAAATTACTGATTTAAAATTTTTGAACTGATTTACAATATTTTTATTTTATTATAACTGGTAATGGAACCAGTATATAGGTGTATATTGATAAGTGAAATAGTTTTATGAATCAAAGCTTGTTGAATTGCTTTTAGATGTGTTGAGATTGATAGACTTTTACAACTTGTTACATGACGTATTTGATGTGACCAATCAAAAAGTGCCTTACAAAGTTACTGTGATTATTACTTATGGAATTTAAATAGTAGGCATCAGATCATTGGTCACCAAATTTCACCAGTTGAATAGATTATACTGTCCTAGATTGTTCCAGTTGTTTTTGAGTGAAGTTAATTTTTACTTCCCAGATTTCTTTTCTGCCATGGTTTTTATGTTCGCAATGGTACTTGTGTATGTTTCGTACGATCGTCAAGCATGTATTTGAACTAAAGTTGACAGTCAACAGAGTTGAATGTACCTCTTGTACCAATACATACCTCTGACATAGTGCTGTATTTCTTAATAATTCTTGTGACCAAAGTTTGTTTGAGTTTTAATGGCATGTTTATTCTTGCTTTCTAAAATCCATCCAAGGGAGTTTCTTGAAGTCAAGAGCATTTCAAGTTCAAAAATGTATTACAGGCCAGGACCATACCTGTAGATTAAATTGACATGTAAAATCTTTATTTTAAAACAATATTGGCAAAATAACCAGCCTCTACTTTTAACAAGTTAACTCTATTTTTTGGTGATTTTATTTTTACTGTAATTTGTTGTTTATGCTCTTATTTTAATTAAGTATTTTCTTCTGTTATTTTTCAACACTGCCACTATGTCTTGTAATTTTCTGTACAGTCTTTCATCTATTCCATGGGAAGCTGTATATATGTATATTGCTGTGGGATATTAATAAAAATATTAATCTGCTTTAAAAAAAAAAAATCAATTGGCTTATTTGTGTTTGATTTCCAGTAATGAAAAACGTGTATCTGCACTATAAGATGGTGTTTGTTAGTCCCTGGTCAAACAAAGTTCGGAAACAAGGACTTGCATAATTCGGTCTTCGTCCGTCCGTCCGGAGTCGTATTTCAGACCCTGTCGACCAAATCCGTTTATTCTTTGCATGTGCCTAGTTCTTTATCTGAGACGCGTGTACATGCAGTGGTTTACTGTTCAATCCAAGACTGCTGACTGGCAGCCATTTTGTTTTTTGAAAATGTGGTATCTTATGCATGCTTTGTCAGATTTTGTTTAAATTTGGTATATACATTGTACATTTTAGATGTCCACGACAATTTGTTTTACAATCGAATCAAAGATGGCTGACTGGTGGCCATCTTGTTTTTTTCTGGTGGTACATATTAATAAGGGGGTCATTTTGATCTAATTTTAATTTGAGTGTTTAGGTAAATAAATAGTGAAAGACATATCAACATTTGAATTTATAAATTCACACTGCTAGAACTGCATATATGCAATACAAGTCGCATAGAAACAGTCAGCTGCTAAATTGTCAAGGGAACCATTTACTGATGAAATATAGTTTTGGATTTGATTGCTTGTTTGTGATAAGGTATTCAATATAGCAATGACCCACGACAGTTGACTGAACTACAAATTATTGATATTTTGTTGAGTAATTCATTACATAATTCAATTACGATACTACTATATCTCCAATTTTTCATTCATATTTGGCACATATTCCCGGTACATAATACATATTGGAATCCATGTCAGTTTGTTTCATAATTAGATCATAGATGCTGATTGTTTAACAATTAAATTAAAGATGGCCGAATGCCCGCATTCTTGCTTTTTGACCATATTACTATACTGTAGAATACTTTATTTTCGCTTGGAATTTATCTTCGCTATTTTCGCTGAAGGGATGATTCTGTGAAAATAAAATCCAGCGAATATACTTTTTTTCCTATATTTCACATTAAACTCATCAAAAAACAGTGAAAATAAATTCCATACAAAACGCCCAAAAAGCCTTTTCAGCGAAAATTAATTCCAGCGAAAATAAAGTATTTCACAGTATCTTTGTACATGAGAAATCAGTTTGGATAAAAAAATGCGTAGCATATCCTGTTAAATTTCTGACCATATATTATGATTTTGGAAAAGTCGTTTAATATATTTAATTTCTATTGATACTAGACCAGTCAATTATTCACTTTCGCTTACTAACTGCAATGGGACTATGTAATTTCCAATGAAATTTCCAATTAATATTCATATAAATTTAGCGTTTTCCCAAGAAGCATATCTTGTATACACGAGTATAAGACAAACTATTCACATGATTGATCTGTGTTTCCCCCAGGATGCATGGTGGTACTGCCACAGTGCTTTGTTTTTTCTCTACATTTGTCGTTAGGGATTGGTCAGTTACTTCGGCCTAGGGGGGGGTTGGTGGATCAGTAGGGGGGGGGGGTTACCCAGTTTTTGGTTGTGCGAATAGGGGGGGTCACCCTGTTTTTGATATCATGTTTTCCACAATTCACACACGCGCTCATGCATATATTTTATAAAATGTTATTTCAGAACAAACGATAAAAAAGTTAATCGTACAAATGTGTTCTTAATAATAACTATTACCTATATTGCCTATAAATTTGCTGATGCAAAAAATGTTATAATATTTTGAGGTTAAAGTTGCCAAATAACTAACAGATTATGC